TTGCTCCATGGTGTTCCACTTCTCAGTGCATTAAAAGATCATCCTTGAAAAGATACCTTTCCCTCACGCTTGATAGGAGTCACCTCCAGAGGCTGAGAGTTTCTGTCCTCTTATCAATCCCCTTCTTAATGCCCACATCTCGGGACAGGGATTCCAGTTGTTTGGCTTCACTACCATCTAGTTTCATATAATGGGCGACAATATCCCAGCATCAGAGCAGACAGGTCACTAGGGGCTCATGCAACTAGCGGCTGAAATATTTTCGCACGTCTTGCAGTTCATCTGGGAATAGGGATCAGGTGATTATATCTGGCCCTGCCTCCTCTTCATCCCTCACTAAGTGAACTGATTTGGTATTGGATTTCTTCTTCTGTATAGGGGTGACTGATACTGGCATGGGTTGTTCCTCTGGTTCAGCTGCAGTTTGAGTGGCATCAGTGCTTGTTGATCTGCTTTCCTCCTCCTCTCTCTGAGGATGCTGTCTAGTGACGAGCAGTATGCGATAAATAGTAGCCAGGGCCCAGCACATTGCATAGCTTTGCACCTCTACGGAACTGCCACAGCATTTTTATTACAAATATTCCTTCACTTTATCAGGGTCCTGTAGTTGCTTGGGATAAACTTCCAAACCATTGGAGCAGAATAGTCCTTCAAAACCTGACCCATGTCCTCCCACATTCCATGCCACTCATGACTATCCACCTTAGGGGCAGATCTCAGTATGACCTTTCTAGAAATCTCTTTTGTAATTCTAAACATGATGTGGACCACAATGATGAGACCTAGCAACAAGAACATGCTTTCCTTAACATCCGAAGGGAATTCAATATTCTCAAAAACTGTTTTAACAGGACTAAAGAAGGAAAAGGGGGTGAAAGGCTGAGGAAAATTATTCTTCCATGTTCCCTCCACAGGCTGGGTACGATTAGTAATGAATTCCCAGAGTTAGCACCCAAGGTAAGGGTAGGAGAGCAACACTGATTACAGATCCCAAATGACTCTCATTGCCCTTGATATTATCATGTCATAAGCTGATATCCCACAGTACAGCAACAAAGCAATCCTGATCCCGCTCCTTGCTCTGAAGAAGAGCACCAGTAGGAACACATACAGAAATATACACAAGGTTAGGTGCCACGTCCACATGAGCAGATCAAGCAACATTGTGACCAGTGGTTCTGTACCCAATACAGCATATGCTTAGATAAAATTTTGTTTCCAACCCACTCTGGTCAGATCTGTTGTTATCTCAACCCTTTGTGCCACATTGGGTGTCAATTGTGGCTGTCATGGTTTAGGACTGGTGTTCTCCAATTTCGTAGTCTCGCTAAAACGACACGCTGCTTGCTTCCCCTCCCTCCCAATTGAAAGCACAAAAAGCAAAGATCACAGGTTGAGATAAGAACAATTTACTGGAAACAGCATTGAGATAAGAAAAGGAACAGTAACAGCAACAATATTAATAACAAAAGGTATAAGATACTGAAACAATTTACACATAAATAATACCAGACTGTTCCAACCACCATGCTTTCTCCCACCAGAAGGAACACCCATGGCAAGAGAGAGAGTCCCTTTCCCTGCCCCAGCCAATGACGTTGAGTGGCATCAAATAACATTAGGGTCTTTACCTCAGCCCCTCCCATTGATCTGAGCCAAAATCAGGACAATTGTTTATGTTAACCCAAAGCTGTTTTCAGATTACTTTTTTTTAATCCTGTCATTATTCATGATCCTCCATTACCCAAAAGACTACTGCCAATATAAAATCCAGTACTTCACTTTAAGCACAGATATTCTACTATATGCAAGAAGCAGTCATTTCCTTCACTTTATAAAGCCTAGAAATTATAGGACTAGAATAAAGTAAAAAATGTGTATTCTTTATAGAAATACATTTGTCAGCAAAGCATGAGAACTTTTTTTAAAAATATATCTTAAAATGATGTAACATAAGATTGCATCTATAATTCTCTAGCAAATATTTGACATGCTTCTTCACATAGGACTTTGAAATATTTGATACTGAAACAGAGACTATAGATACATTAAAGTAAATCTGAATAGAATTCTTTAAAAAGACAAACTTATTGCACTGTCCTGCTTCTAGGTCTTTGTCCTGGTGGGACTTTATGATGCTTATATCCCCAATTGTCTGTTCTGTTTATGCTGGATATTAAGTTCGGCACCTTTAAGACTGGTTCAGAGAGCGAAGGGGGGAAGAAGAAGTGCACAGTTTGCAGAAACTGCACTTGCTCCCCCGCATCCTTCACCCAGACCGTGTTGTCTGAAGCATGGACAGACAGTGAGAGAGAGCTCTCCTTTGCTTTTTGTTAGTTTTTTTTTTTTAGCTAACTGAAGCAGAGAAGTTCTCCGGACTGTGGTTTTTCTTTTTCTTGGAACTGTTCAAACCTACTCTGGACTAAAACCCCAGAAGAACACCGGGAGCTCATGCCTGTGACCCACCGGGGCCTGAGACGCTGCATTCCAGCGCTGGAGGGACTGATAAGAGTCGGAGTGAACCAACCTACACATCACAAAAATGACTTTCTGAATTGGCCATCTCTTCAGAACAGCGAGAGGTTTTATTGTTTAATAGTATTCATTTTTTGTGCTTGTGAGTGCTTTGCTTGTTGAATAAACATTTATCCATTTTTCTCCAAGGAAATCTTTTCCCAAAGCAGTTGGGGGAGGGGCCACTTGAATCTGCTTTCTAGAAGGACCCCATTCGGAGATTTCCTCCCAAATTTTGCCCTAAACCAAGACAGTCTTCCCCACAACTTGTTTTGAAAGAATATATCAGAGCATACATAAAGATATAATTTCATGCTAAGTCCTTTTTTTTTTTTTAATATCTCTCAATCATATGTCTTAAAACTTATAAATAAATTTTTATTTGTTCCAAGAATTCAAATTCATATTGATAGGAAGGATTCTTATAGGAGCACTTTCTATCAGTGATTATTCTCCTTGTATTCCTTTTAAAATTACCCTATTCCAATTATTATTAAAAATAAACATCTTTTGTTGATCACTAAAATGAATATTTCTATAGTTTAAGGAGACAGCAGAATGAATATAAATTCTGAATGAATATAAATTCAGAGACTAAATATTAAAAATGTGAAATGAAATGCAGTAGAAAACTAAAGGAAAGAAATAAAAATACAAACTAGGACATAAATTGCATCCAACACAGATTTTATTTACCTTAAGCCATTTATCAATACACTTGGCATGAAACTCGTGGTTACAGGGTAAGACTCTAAGTAGTTGCCTTGCCTCAAAGTCACACATACACACTACACACCTAAAAAAAAGAGCAAATATCTATAAACTTTACCATTTAATAACAACAGGCAACTTATAAGGTGTCTGCAAAAGCGTTTTTTAAAACCACTGGAATATCTACAGTGATCAAACTTTTGTGGATATAGATCTCTAGTGGACCAGTGTAAAATGAGAATTTCTTTTGTTTTTTCACCATAGTTTCAAATCCCAAAGCAGACAAGGGAGTTCACTGGCCTAAGTAGTAAATCGATTGTATTACCATAATTCAAAATATTTGAGCTCATGCCTGCTGATATAAACAGGCAGTGCAAACCCTATAGCATATTTCTTTCAGTTTTAACTTTAATTTTAGCTACATTAAAATAAAAAAAAATCCCGTAAAATTGCTTTGAGTATTTCTCAAAGCCATACTTGATTAAAGATCACACGCATTTTTACTATGAAAGATTTCTCCTTAAATTACATCTATATTCTGTTATACATATTTTATAAACACATTTCTTCCCCAGGGATATCATCAACTTAAGTTCTCTGGTATTTTTATTTTTCTTCTTCTCTACTATGTTAAAAACAACACTGAAGATTGCTCTAAGTGGAACATCAGAGAAAAAAACCTCTTCAGTTTCAAACATTTGACAGCAGTGTATATAATTTTTACTGCCTCCAATCTATATCTCATTTCTCTGTTATGTAGATTTTTCAAACAGAATTTGTCTCAAAAATAAGAAAATATAACTGTAAACCTCAAAGATTTTCAAAAGAACTTTCAGGAGCACTTTAAACTTTAGTAATTAGAAAATATTTCAATATAGGCTGAATTCCAAGTTATCTAGTGTGCCCAACAAAAATTTTGAAAACTTTTTAAAAATACTGAATAAATAAATTTGGACATATAAATGAAGTGAGACTAGGCCGAATTTTAAAGTCAAGAAAAATTATGTCTGACTTGAAAAACGTTTAATAAAATTTATCTTTTTGAGTGCTTTTAGAGCACTTGTGTCACAGTATTTGCCAGTTTAGGCTGCAGTCTGAAGGAATGGAAACAGTCATGTAAAGTATGTAATCTTGAGATAGATGTACTTACAATGTCTGCTCTGATTGATGATTGCTTGGATTGAACCTGTAATATGGAAGCTGTTCAATGTCTGTCGTTGTCAGTCCTCGAGGTTTGGCTTCTCCTAGACGTTCTGCCAAGTTCAACAGTGCCTACGAAACAAGGAATTTGGACTTTTTAACATTCATTGCCCCAACAAGCTCCAGCTCTACCAGAGTGATTTCTTCTGCCACACGTCACAGATGGCAAAACCCACCTCATCACAGAATCTTCTGAGTCAGAAGGGACCCACAAGAATCAAGTCCAATGTCACAGTGTTAGCTGTCTTACACTGGGCAGTCAATTTGGCCACTGATAAGAGAAATAGCCTGGCCTAATAGGCAGGCCCCCAGAGAACAGAGATAGGACAGAATTGGAGATAGACAAGGATGTGACCCAATGAGTTCCAGCCTAAGTTGCAGAGAGCTATTGGTCAGAGAGCTGAGCAGCCTGAACTTTGAACCAATCACAGGCGCTTACCTGGGAACATTAAGAAAGGTATTTAAGGAGAAGTCAGAACAATAAAGGGGCTTTTTGTCACATGGATCATAGAGTGCTGTGTTTTCTGTCTCAAGCACAGCACCAGTCGACGTTACAGTCCAACTCTTAAGTGAATGGCCCATATGGGGATTGAACACGACCTTGGAATTATTAGCACCATGCTCGAACCAACTGAGCTAATCAAGGCATATTTAGACTTCCTTTTCTCTCTACAACTGCAAGAACTATGGAAAGATGTCTTTCAAAGTTTGATAATTGATGAATCATTCTGAACTGAATAAGAGTATCTTCAGGATTTCCAAATATCCATGACCTACCTCTTAATCACTTCTGTAACTGTATTCACAGCTTGATACATGTTTTACTTTGGAAGTTAATTCCCTTTTCCCCATCCTCCACTCAGTTGTTTGAGTAACAAGAAGAAAATGTTGACAAACTTGTTTTCTAGGAATATGAAATGAGCCTAACTCTATGTGTCCAAGAGTTTAAAGGGACAACTTTTTACTCACATTCCACTTCTTGGGCTAACTGAATTGAGGCATGGAGATTTTATGCTGAGCCTTTGGAAGCAAAGGCATGACATCAAACTGAATAGAGACACTTTCTGATGAAATTTTTTACTCATACAGGTAGAACACTGTACCTAAGTGATCCTCATGTAAATAATTTCTGCTCCCACATGAGGGGCTCCAGAAAAGCATCAATATAAACTTGATAGAGAACTGAAGCACAGAAGTTAAGAGATTTGATGAAAGATGCAAAGAATACAGATTCTCAAATAGCCCAAAACCCAAAGCCCAAAATGCCAGCTACAATATGATGCTTCTTTTAACTAGCACAATAAGCATTATAGGAGAGCCTATCATTACACTGCAAATGCTATGCAATGGCATAAATACATATCTGAGCAGAATCAAGGCAAAATAGATACATGAGGAGGGGTAGGCAGCAGCTGAGGGCTGCTCAACAGAATCTGATGGGAATCCAATAGCCTGAGAAGCAGCAAGGACAAGAGCTGGGATCAGCCCTCAGTTATCTAAGACTGACATTTTATTTCAAAATATGTGATTTGCTGTGCTCTCCTTATTGTCAAGACAAAATATATATTAAGAGATTCTTGCCAACAGCATGTTTACCTGAACTCATCCTACAATGTTAACACTAATCTGTAAAGATAGCAAGGTACATAAAAAGCACTAAGTTATAGTATATTCAAAAGATTAGGATGTTTATGATCAATATTTTAAAAAGAAGAAAAATTATAAAAGAAGAGTCACATCTAGAATGGAAAATTGAAGAATTTAAGCATTGCTAATCTAAAAGGATAGATTTGAGGAAAGGCAATAGATACAAAATAAGGGTGTTTCTAACATCCAGTGTTAGAAACTAGTATGGAAAAATAATGTTTCTACATTCTGTCTTCATAAACATTATATTTATTTATTCCAATTTTTGTCTTTGAAAAGCAAAAACCATTTAAGTTCATGTATTAACATCTGCTCCTCATGAATTTGTACTTCACACACCAACCTCATAGTTTTCTACCTCTCCATCTTCCACATCCAACTCAAAACTGAAAGCTGGTCTAACTGCAGGTTGCACTGGAAGTAATGATCTGCCAGAAGAACAAACAACAGAAAAATTCAAAATCTTCCTGAAGGAAAGCCTGAAAACATATGTCAGAGGTAGAGTTATGTTATTGATCCTTCTTAAATCAACAAATTCTAAGAATCAGTAAAAGGTTAAATTTGAAATTAAGAATTAAAAGAATTAAGACTTAAATTGCATCACTTCTTGGTACTCGCTTGTATGGCATTTTTGAATTGCATATCTATTACTATGAAACCTCATACTTACAGTAAGGTTCAGTGTTATTACAGAAATTAATCTCTTAATCTCTTAATCACATAGTTAATATTAATATTGGAGAGTTTCCAGATTTAAATTTGACTTATATATCAATGAAGATTAATAACCTAAATTCATTTAGTTTCCCAATACAAAAGCATTCAAGCACTCAGAATAGAATAGGATAGTGTCCTGGGGTACAATGCAAAAATGTGTATTCTATCACCATCTGTTGAAATGTGGGAGGGGTGGTGATCCTTATCTCTGTGGGAGATATCCTCTGCTGATGTGCCATCTGATAAAATCAGGGGGATGATCATCGTTATCTTTTCACAACCCATCCTTCCTCCAGAAGATATNTTCTGTTAATGGGCCATTAAGTCCTACTGTATGACTGATAAAATTACATCATCCCATTGGGAGATGCTCCAGCCAAGGGGAGGAGCCAAGCCTTTCCTACCTAGATAAAAACTGAGATTTGGAACACCAAGGCAGCCCTTTCCACTGGATCCCAGAGGAAAGTCGAACCTTTTCCACATCATCGCTGGACCTTCGGAGGAAAACTGCACCCTTCTACAGGACCACTGCTTCAACTGAACCACATCTGTCATCCAGGAGTACTGCAGCCACCATTTATACGGACTGCTACCAACACCCTGACTGACAGGGTGTCAGGTTGTATTCTAACTCTGTCAGTGGTTTTTCTTTTGTATTATTGCATATATTTTATTTTTTCTCTTTTTTCCTATTAAATTGTATTACTGACTTGGAGTCTCTCACTGGTTTTGCTTTCAAACCAGTACAGATAGTATAGAATAGAGTATTTCAGTTGGAAGTGACCCACAGAGATCATCTAGTCCAACTGCTTGACCACTTCAGGGCTGGCCAAAAATTAAAGCATATTTTTAAGGGCATTGTCCAAATATCGTGTCCAAAACACTGACAGACTTGGGACATCAACCACCTCTCTGGGAAGTGTTTCAGTGTTTGACCTCCTTATCAGTAAAGAAATGCTTGATAATGTCAAGTCTGAACCTCCCCTGACACAGCTTTGAACTGTTGCCATGAATCCTGTCACTGGATACTAGCGAGAAGTGATCAACACCTCCCTCCTCACTTCCCCTACTCAGGAAGCTGAAGAGGTTGCCCCTCAGTCTCCTTTTCAATAATGCACATAACAAAGATAATTACAACATAGTACTGGGCCAATTTCCACACTGACAGCAGACCAAACTATGCATTCCCATATAACATGGATTTGGCCAGAGAAGAACCTCTGCAGATATAAAGGGAACAGCATGTGATTTTACTGTTTTTTTCTTTAGCTAACAAAGCATTGCCATCCCAGGATAATAATATGTGTCAAAGTTTAATGCACAACCATAGAAATAAAAAAATCATCAGCACTATAAATCAGAAATGATTGTGACACAGAAGTAATCTTGCCTGAGTAAACAGACAAGCAACTATAACATCAGAACAGACTTTGTCAAAATGCACAATGCAAAATTTAAAAACTTAAATGAGTCATATATCCTGGTGTTATTTTGATGCAAGTCAAATAGCAGAGTCAGAAATTATAGATGTTATAGTAAAACAACAAATTACAAAGTTGGATTAACTCCATCAATGACACCTTTAAAACAATCTTAATTTTCCAAGCATTTTGTATTTCCAAAACAGAACATACAAAGAACAATAAATTCCATGTCGCACATCTAATCTACAGCAGACGGGATCTACTTTAAAAGGTTACTGATAATCCCTTAATGCTACTTCTACCATTCCTTCTCTTCCAGAAATGGTTATTCAGGTGCAGAAGTTCAAAAGTTGTAACAGATTATTGGAAGAAACCCCCTCAAACAAATAACCAAAAATACACACATACCCAGGAAGGCTCCCCTCATTATATTTCAGTAATTAAGAGTAAATTTATTTATCTGGGGTGGGGTTTTTTTTGTTTTGTTTTTGCTTTTGTTTTTGTTTTTTAAGGAATGTTTGATCTTTATACTACATAAGTAGACTTTAGGATGTAACCATGGGTATAACTCAACTGTTCTCCAAGAACAAAGTGCAGTCATTCTACATTGAATATCTTTAAGGAGATTTCAACAGAAAAAAGAGGCATAGAAGATCCCCAAACTACATTATCATCAAACTGTTCGCTTGTTTAAATAGACTGGAAACTTTAAAAATAGGTACAAGCTTTCCTATTCCTTGGGATTGTTTGAACTGTCTATAACTTGTGATAGAGCCCAAATATAAAAAAAAAAATTGAGGGGATCAACTAGCTTGCAGAGTTATTTAATAGTATATGAGTACAATCTGCTTTGGACTTACAACACATATGGTAATAGACTGGGATGGTACGAGTGTGGTGGTATTGATTGCTGTGATAGGTATCTACTGTGCCCTGTGAGTCTTCGAGGCATAAAAGGTGGATAAGGCTGTAAAAAGAAAGAAGAAATTCTTGTCTTATTTAATAATGAAATTAAATGAAAAGTGAGCGTTGAAATACATTTTAAATAAGGCATTATCCAAACGAAGCCAGCCTTGTCCAAGCCAAAAAGTACCAGCCTTTTCAAAATTATTTTTTTGACCAACAAATCTCATCAGTAATATACAATTATACTATCCTGAAGGAAATAAAAAGTAACAATGCTAACCAGAAACCCTTGTAAGCTAGTGTTGGGGGTGTAGGAATTGTATTCCCCAATTTAGTACTCCCACTAAAGAGATCATGAACTGCTCTCCTCTCCCCAAATAGGAGGCACAAATTTCTTCTTCCCAGGTCAACCCAGCACAGGCAGAGATCACGGATTGAGAGAACAATTTACTGGAAATAGAAATGGAATCAGAAAATGAACAGTAACAGCAACAATATTAAAAACAAAGTTATACAAAAAAGAAGGCGATTCACATGCAAAAATGCTCACTGGGGACCCTGGGTGACAGTGAACAATGGCGGATGGGTTCCCTACCCTGCCATACTTTGTTCCACTGGAAAGCCACACCATTCTTCTCAGAAGCCAGAGAGTCCCCTGGCAATTGATGTGAGGGGGTACAGAATAACTTCCTAGCCATGCTCACACAGCTTCAGGCTCTGCCTCCTCATGGCTACTGCAAAAATTAACTCTGTCCTGGACAGAACGTGGACAACTAGATAATAAGCATTTTGTAAGGCTTTGTATATCAGCTGTTTTGAACAGGCAGGACTTGAATTGGTGAACATGCTGCAAACAAAAAGCCAAGGGCTTTCAACTTGGTGCAATGCACCAGCTTGTGTAGTTGGTTGGGTAGGAATGAGAATTTTAAACAACATATATACAGGAGTTCTTT